GCCCATTTGTACCCCTCCCAGGTGTTCAGTACCATATGTATGCCAGGGGGAGAAGGAAAGACACTGGTGACATGAACACTTCATTATGAGGGGAACTTATCTCTTGTTCATTATGAACAAGAGAGGAAACTATCCAGAGGCATCTGGAAGAGTCCAGAGCAAAGAGAAAGAGAAACAGACTGGGCACGACCAGGGCTAGGGAAGCCTTCGAGTGGGAGAGAACAGTGAAAAAGTAGGAAGACAACAAGTGATGAAGAACAGGGCACAGTGAGTGAGCATGACGCAAGAGGAGAACAAGAAAGAGGGGACAGCAAAGGAAAGAACAGTGAGAGAATAGCAAGAGTAGTTGGGCTATAAGAAACATGAGCAGTTGTGGGGAGGGAAGCCACCAAGCTGGAGGGATTTTAGAAAGACAGACTATGACGCTAGCATGGACTTCAAAATGTATAACACTTGTGATATGGAAGGACCCTGGAGGCCAGCATGAGCTTTGATACGCTTATAGGTGCCACAGGTATATGGCAATTGGAAAACCATATGTCCTTTCTGCCAGAGGTAACAAAAATGATGCCCTTTGGGGGACAGTAAACCTGTTTCACAAATTCCTGAGGAATGCTGGCTTTTATCTAACCCCCAGAAATCCTTCTATAGTCCAGTTTGAGCTCATTTCTGGATATATGGACTGCCTATGAGAGCTAACAGAGGCATGGGAGTTGAGCTGGTCAGTCAAGTTGGCCCACCCACAAGGTCTTCATGTACCTTAGTTTCAGTCAAGTTCTCACATGTAGCTTCTAGGCAATGGTATGCATTCAGGTCATGCAGAAGATGTATGGTAATGAGATACCAGAGTAAGAAACAAAGCCCTCAAACATTTCTGGCATTTCTGGCTTCTGATCAGGACAGAACCAGAGACATTCCCAGTTTCTTGCCAAGGACAAAAACTGAGGTGCCTGTCCCTATGTTGCCTGACTAATTTCTATTACTGTTCTCATCGGTGCTGTCCTCAGCCTTGACCAACAAAGCTTCTCTTTGAGGCAAACTGTAGTGAATGTGGAAATTTATGGTTGGCCGTGTTGCTGATAACAAGTGACCTTAGAGTATTCAGCTTTAGACAGGGCACCCATATTATCCCCTCCATGGCTTAGGAAACATTATGGAAGAGGGGGTAGAAAATATGTAAGAACTAGATTATGTAAGAAGAACCGTGAGTCTTAGGGCACGACCTGGCAATGGCATTCTTGAAGGAGCTGTGGTTGCCTCCATCAGGCTTGCACAATACTGAGCCTGAAAGCATTCAGTCGCAGATAGAGGAGGGGCTCGTGGGGCCTTTTCCAATTCAGGCATATTAATGGAAATCTATGATTCCTGGGGAACAGGAATCCATTGTCTTTGGTGACGTAGACACGGGTGAACTACTCAGGCTCCAGTGGAGAACCTCACACCAGAGTGAACCTGGCTGAACCCAGGAGGCCACAAAGCAAAAGACAAATGACCAAGATGTGAAAAGTGAGATGGGAGACTTGGTGGAGGAAGTGGGAGAGGGTTGGTGGGGGCAAGAGGGAGACTAGGGTGGGGATATGAGCATGATCGGAATGTATTATATGAGTATGAAATTACCAAAGAATAAATGAATTGAAAAGAACAAAAACTAGCAGTCTTTAAGGTCATTGGAGGTGAACCTCTTCCTCATAAAACCATAACTGGAACTCAACATCATGTCTCATCATGGGTAGGGATGTGTCATTCAAACTTGGCCAGAGAAAATAAAAATTACTTTCCCATCAAAGGTTTTCTAGTTTTTAAAAAAGGGATGTACTGTTGCCTTGTCTCTTGAGAGTTAATCTAAGTAAGACAGGAAACTGTGCCACAGGAAAGCTTTGTATTACAGAAACTTTTTAAATAGTATTAAGCCTACCTACACATGTAGGTTGGCACAGGGTGTCTATGGCCTTTGATACTGTATTCCTCTACAATTGTCTCAGTAGCTTTTGTCCAGTCTCACCCTTGAGAGTACCCTATATCATTGTGTAATAAATTCTGCTTGTATTCTGTACTCTGTGAGTCTTGGTTGAATTCATTCTGTGGAAATCACAAGTGAGCAAGAGCCTTATAACCCAGGGATGAAAGGGAGAAGGACTTTGCCACTATTTGTAGGCACTGTGTTCCCATCACATTGCTGCATATCCAGCTGCTACTGTGAAAAGAAAAAGAAAATTCTTGAAGGCGCTTACCAACTTCAAAGTAACCTTTGAATTAATTAAATTTGACCTTATGCATGGGAAAATAGGTTGATATTGAAAGAGTCCTACTAAGTGTGGAAACAAACACCTTAGAAAACCATTAAGGCTAGAAATGAAAGCAGAGACAGGACATGTCAGCTACTCTTTACATAATACTGCCTGCAAGATCCTGCCCACCACCCTCTGCTCCTCATCCCTCACCATTAGCTATCAGTGTAGAGATAAGGACAATAGCTTTGCTTTTCTTCACTTCAGATGTGGCATTTCCTGGCTTCCTACCCCTTTCCTTCCCTGCTGTCCTGGATCCTCAGGGTCTGGAGTCTAGAGTAGACATGAGCAGTGGGGTTCCATGGAGTGCAACCAGGAAGAGAGTCACTGAGCCCCAGGCTGGTGATGGTGTGGGCTTACAGGGAGAATCAGCCCAGAGGCTACCTGTGATTGCTAATGAGCTTTCGGGTGGCAAACCTGTCTCATCAAGACCCTTTGTTTTTCCAGGCTGCCCTTTGTTGACTTGAGGCTTGTTTCCCTTGTGGCAGAGACCCTCCTGTTTTCCTTTTCTTTGGAGACTTCGTGGGAGCTAAATTTAAACTTGATTAACAGCTTTTAGTCCGAGGAGGGTCAGAATACTGCTTTCTTGTTAAATGTTTTTCTTTCTGGTTCCATTTTGTTTTGTTTTAAGACACAATAGGCCCTCACAATGAGAGGCCTTTTGGTTCTGTTGCTATGGTGTAAGAAGCCAAAAAGTAGCATCAAGTATTGGGGGTTTTGATCATGACCACAGGGGAGAAATTAAAAACTTTTTTTTTGTGAAGACTATATGATTGATAGCTATGTTCCCATACTCTCACAAACATCTTCAGTACTAACTTTGTTTCCATTTTGCTACTGAGTAACTTCAAGTTAATAGAGAAAAGCTTGAAGTTAATTGCTGATGGAAACTTCCAGACTCCCCACACATCTTGAATCTCTATTAGGAATCCCCTTCCCCACTAAGCTTCCCTTTCTGGTGTTTCTAAGGTGTAACTGAACCATTACTTCATGAAAATGGAACTCTAGGCAAAGAAATGTTAGAGACAGAAAAGAAAAGAAAGAAAAGGAAACAAAAGAAAAGGAAAGAAAAGGCCAAATGAAAGCAGTGTAGCCAGAAGTTAACAGACCTAACCAAGGCCAGGGCAAGTGAACTTGGGTTCTCATTCATCTTGTTTTTATTAAGGGTTGAGGTGGACTCAGAGCCACAGGACCTTCTCAGCATAAAAACCAGGCCTGCACTTATGCAGCAGGAATCTACCTTTAGAGCTAGTTGAAGAAGGCATGACACATTTATTGCTGTTACTTTAACCTCATCATCTGCTAAGAGTGACTTTGTGTCATTTCAAGCCCAGAATGTGGGCTTGAAATGGAAACAGCTAACAGCTTCTCCCCACCCCACCCCACCCCACCCCTCACCACCCACCCTGGACCCTTCACCTATTAATTTTGGGTCAGTTAAGAGCTGTGCTGCCATTGGTCCATCTTTAGCTTGCCAATTACAAGCCTCAAGCTGTTCCATTGTTCATTAACTAAGCAGCTTTGAATAAGTTTTAAGTAAGCATTTGAGGACTGCCAGCCTTTGAAGACTGAAGCTGCAGGCAGAGCAAACAGTTGTTATTGTTTATTAATTTACTAAAGATCCTAGAGAAAGAATCCTGCCTTCACAGCAGAAGGACAAGATGTTAAACTCTAGAGCTCTGCATTCCCTCCACTTCTTCCACTTTGCTAGAATGTTCTTTGTCCTACTTCAGTGACCATACCCTTTTGCCTCCAAGGCCTGTGACTCCCCCCCATGGTCCATATATACTCAATTCTTCTTGCTTGGAGTGAAAGCATTAGTTACTCTTTAACAGTAATGGGCAAAATCTACCTTTAGCTGGAAGCCAGCCATTGTCTCCTCCTTCAGAGATAACCCAGTTGGGCAGTTCAATTACCTGGTCAAAGGGCCATTCCCCTCTTCCTCACCCCCCCACCCCAGAGAACCAAGACAGGTCTGCCTTAAACTATGCTAAAGAAGTAGAAGGAATAATTATCGTCTAAAGGAGATCATGTGTGTTTCTTTCTCAGAATTCCCCTTCCCTACCACAGACATTACAGAATTGCCACGAGGTTCTGCTGGGACTATCTGCTTTCCTGAATCCTGACTCTGTAGCCTAACTTTTCTTTTTCTTCCTTTATCTCTCTTTAAATTTCAATGTACTTTCCCTAACACTTTGGACTTACCTCTTTCTCTGAAGCTCCATTACTTGTGGACACAGCCTCATGGACAATCTCCCCTCCTAACTCAAATGGCATGTCTTGCTTGAGTCATCTCTATTTCCTAACTCTGGGCACCTGCTGGGATTTACAGCATCCCTGCTTTGAAAATTTTCTTTTAAACTAGAAGAAAATTACCCTCAAGCTTTCTCCTGAGTCCATTCTTAAATTCATGCTAATAAGAATAAAAATCCCAAGAGGGGACCGAGATACCCCTGATAATGTTGGCAACTCTGAGAGACTCCCTCAAATGTTTGGGACACTCCCTTCATTGCTGTGGCAAAATACATAAAAAAGGACAGTTTAATGGAGGGTTTATTTTGGTTTACAGTTAGAGGAGAGAGAGACTGTTCATCATTGTGAAGAAGTCATGTGGTAGGAGCTAGTCACATCATTTAATCTGGAGTCAGTGAGCAGAGTGATGAAAACTAGTACTAGGTTCACATTCTCATTTTTATTCAGTCCAGGACTCCAGCTATGGAGTGGCACCCACATTTTTGGAGAGTTTTCCAACCTTAATTAAAATAATCTAGAAACTCGATGGTGAACATGTATAGAAGTCTGTCCCCACGATGACTCTAAATCTCATCAAGTGCACAATAAAAATTACCCAGCACAGAGATCTTCCTTCTAAACTCCTAACTTACTATTGATGCTTCTCACCTTCTTCAGTTTCTTGGGTGAGGGTATTACACCTTTTGATCTTTCTATATTCCATATTTGATACTTGAGGGAGTCCATGTCATGAGATGAGAGAATATTGTGTAACAATTGTTTTCATCTCTGTTGTGTAATTTGAATTTCTGGTATGGCCCTGAGGTAACAGTTACACATTCCATGTTTTAGAAGGACAGACTGAGTTTCAGAGAGGTTACAAAAGTTCTCCAAAGTCACATGAGCACCAGTGCCTGTCAAAGCTAGGTCAGCTGCTAGGTCCGGTTCTGTATGGATATCATTATATCTTCCACTGGTGTATACTGACATTGCTAACTCATCAATGAATCCATCACAATACCTAAAACAACAGCAAATAAAGCAAATGACTACTAAACCTAGAAACTAAAAACCAAACTAGGCAAAGCAAGATTAATTAGACTGTAAAAGGAAAGTCTATTACACACTAGAAGATATTACCTCCTCACTCATTCACAATTTGACCTTTGTAGCAGAGGCATGGAACTAAGCCACAACAAAACTTAAGAGAACGTGGACTAGGAAGATGACTCACAGGGTAAGAGTACTTGCTCTGCAGGCATGAGGACCTGGGTGAAAAGGCAGGCACGGCTACATGTGCTTATTATCCCATCATTAGGGGGGCAGAGACTAACAGAGCTTGCTTGCCGGCTAGCTTACATAAAATTATGAGCTTTTGGTTCAGTGAGAGACCCCATTTCAAAGCAATAAGGCAAAGAGCAATGAAAGAAGACACCAAACATTCTGCTTCAGCCTTCATATGAGTACAAATGGGCATATGTGCATACACACACAACAGATTTTTATTTAAAAATATATTTGGGGTGAGGGTGTGTTAATCAAGGATAAGGATATATGAAAAGGTCTTCTAGAAACACACTATTTTAAAATAGATGTTTTTAAAAAGGAGTTTGAACAGAAGTATCTTACATTGGTTAACAAAGTTTCCCCCAGATAATGTGGGTCATTAAATGAAAACCTTAGTTTCAGGTGTGGGATGCCTCCCTATGAGTTATTGTTGATCAGGAAGCCCCAGAGGCTCCCAAATCAATTCAATAGGTTGCCATTGTTCTTGATTGCCCTCCAGAACTAAAGGGTAAGACTCTAGTGTTGTAGACAATAAACTGGTTTCAAATACAGGGAAATCAATCTGAGGCTGGTGTGGAAACTTCGTCCCTACTGGCAAGCTTTCATAGTGTCTGGAAGGTGCTATACAGGCCTCCGGGACAGAAAAAGCTCTCATTTGACTTATTCAGTGTTGGACCCTGCATGATAAAATATTGTGCCCGGGGTCCAATAGTTCCATAACTGTTTTCTGGGGTGGGGGATCAACTCATTTCTGGTTTGAGTTCAGACCTGCTCCATAGGAGGAATTTCATGCCTTGTACTGTAAACCTGCTCAAAAGCCTATGACTTGGATGGTCACAGGTCTGAGGGAAGAAGGAAACCTACTACTGTTATTTTTCTAAACAGACGTTATCAAACTGCCTTCTAAATATTTATATTTAATCCTGCAGACTGATGATTACCTCAACCTTTGTCAGAGAAGCGTTTTTTCCCCCAAAATATTTTTAATTGAAGTAGAACTACATCACTAGAATTAACTTTTCCTAAAGAAGGTTTTTGTGACTGGACAGCACTCAGTTCAGAGATTCATACATTGTCAAAGTTCTGAGAATTAGTAACCATTGAACACTCATCTCTACATGAAAGATGGATGTCAGCTTTCCTTCCAAAGGCTTAGGAAACATCACAGGGGTGGAGGGCACAGAAAGAATGTTAAGAGTTGGAAGACAGGAAGAAGTGCTTTGAACGGTGGCTTCAAAACATTACGTGGTCCTTGTGGTCACATATTAACATCAACTATGTCTACCTGCACAAGACCCACACAAGATCAAGCCAAGAAGCCCACAACGGATGGGGAAAGCTCACGGAGCTCCATCCGTAGCTGAAGAGCTTTCGGCAATCGATGGCTTCTGGGGATGGGGGAGTTATTTTTCTTGGGGAGTATAACCACTGGTAGGCTGTCCAATATAGCAGCACTAATTGGACTTGGTAAGTTGCTGGGGGAAAAGATGGCATGAAAGTGGGAGAGATACATGATAGGTCGTATCAACAGAGAACAGGAAGGGAAACTGAGGGTAGATATGATCAAGATATATTGTATATATGCATAAAACTGTCCAAGGATATGTTTTTAAAAATGTTGTAACCTTAGAGAACAGATATGAAGCAGTACACAATCCTGCATGGGGATGACTATTGAAAACACACTTGTAAGACTCAGGTGAAAAACTGCAGAGTCATATTCCTTCCTACTGTTATTACCAAATTAATAATCCCAGCATCAGATTGTAAACAATTTATGGACCCAAGGAAATAAGAGAGAAAGAGCAGAACCTGGTAAAGTTTAAGATGATAAAATGCCCATCTGGAGGTTTGACTTGCGTAACTGAGGTCATCTTCCTTCTGGAATATACTCCCTAACTTTGAATATGTATGGTCTTTCAAAGATCAACATTAATAGATGGAATGAAGGAGACTGACTACTACTACTACTACTAATACTAATACTACTACTACTACTCTCTCTCTCTCTCATTGAAGATGGCAGAATATATAAGCAGTGGGCATGCCAACAACTATGCCTTGGCCTGGGTTGTACTCCTTAATGTTTACAACTTCCTGGAATACTCAACACTTTCTCTGTCTCAGTTATCACTTTCTTTTGTTATTACCTGGGACTTTTTTGCTCATCTTTTCCCAAATAAATGAAGATTCAAGGTGTCTCTGGCTTATGTCTATCCAGTATACTTACCCTGTCTTGATCATCATCTAGAAGCCATTACTCCAATGCTTACTCTTGGTCCTTGTAGTATGGTTGAGATGACTTCCCAGCATACCTCTGAGGGGAACAGAGAACTCAATTAGTAATTTAGAGGATTCTACCCCCTTTCTACTGGGCTGGGTTCAAGGGCCACTCAGTAATCCTCAAACGTTGGTTGTAATTCTTGGAAATAAGTTGTTTCTTCAGTATTTGATGCTTGGAAGATGTAGGCTTGAAATTCCTGTGGACATTATGATGTCAAATCAAGACCTTAGAAATTACAGTGATCTCATTCTGTAATGTAGCCAGAAAGTTGTCTGTGTCCCTTCCTGTCCCACAGCCACTTATAAAATAATCACTCAAGAGGTTAATATTAACTATAGTTGTTTGGCCAATGGCTCAGGCTTATTCCTAGATAGCTCTTCCATATAAATTAACCTGTTTTTATTAATCTGTGTATTGCCCTGTGGCCTGTGGCTTACCTTAGGTAATGCTCTGGCATCTTACTCCTCTGGCAACTGCTGGAATCTCTTGACTCCACCTTCTTTCTCCCTGTGTCTCTCTTTGGATTTCCTGCCTAGCTATATTCTGCCCTACCATAGACCAAAACAATTCTATTCATCAACCCATAAAGGCAACACATATTCACAGCATACAGAAGGACATCCAACATCACTGTAATCATGCTGATACCACCCTACCCCATATAGTACATCATAGATTAAACACTGACTTAGTTAAATTTAGGTCTTATATCTATATCGATTCTTATGTGTGTTGGAGAGTGAATTAGATACCTCTGCTGGCTCTTAGGTATCTTGAGATTACTCTTTATTTTTCCTTCATATGCCCTGTGTCCTATGATTTGTGGCTTTGAAAGAATGTTGACCATTGAACCATCTCCATTGTGCAATTACAGAGAAATTCAAACCATAAGGAGAGTGAAATGTCTAAGCATCCATGACTATCAGTTCAATTGTGAATCTAACTAATATGACTATGAAGTGATGTTTGTGTATAGAGGATGCATTTATAATAAAGCTACCATTTTTATTCCATTTACTTATTGTAAGACAAATATTTATATGACACCTATAAACAGTAAAATAAGAAAAGGAAATGAAAATCCAAATGCTAATAGCCATTGCCTTCTTTATGCTTTTGTTGCAAATGTAACTATTATATTTATAAGCATATAAGTTACCTATTATTGTAGAACTCCCACGAAAACTTCAAAGTTTAGAAAAGTAACCACTTTTCTGTGGGCTAGAAGTTTGGGCTGACTCTGCTACATGATTCTTTTGGTGTGGACTGATTTCAGTAATGTGCCAGCCACAAGCTAGCATATGGGATGGCCAACAAGTGCACGTGCCTTAATACAGCACATGCCTCTATGGGTTTTGTTGGTCAAATCAAGCTGTAATGAAGGGCATAGACATCAGGATTCTCTAGGAAAATTCCATGGTAGGCATGAAGATGAGCCATCCCACAAGAGCTTTGCTATCAGGAGGAATGCTTTTATATCCATGAAGGACATCATTCACCATCATGCCCAGGTTGCTAAAAATCTTTGCTTGTTCAAACCTCTTACATAAAAGTAAAATAATATTGCATGGTAACCTATGAATAAATATATAAATATTTTTATACTGCATTGTCTGGGGAATAATAACAAGAAAATGTCTACTCATGACAAACAGCTTTCTCCCAATATTTTCCATCTGACGTTGGTTGAATGTACTCATGAGGAGTTCATCAATACAGAAGGCCAACTGTACACATGAAAACCATGACCTTTTAGATGACGAAGACTGTATGACAGTGACCGTTGGATGCCATCAAGGAGTCAAAGTGAATGTGAAAAGGCATCCTAACCACTTTCTTTAGGGCTTGGGATTGAGAGAATGAAAAAAAAAACTCGACAAGGAAGACTGGGGAGAAAGTTTACCCAGATGAACTCTTTTGTTGAACAAGTATGTATGGTGAACAGGTGAACATTCTTAAGGCAAATCCGATGGGGATTCTAGTCAAAGATACGGGATGCTGTCTTCAGCTCTGTCCCACTTCACACTTTAGTCAGGGCTTTATGATTATTGCTTACTAAATTTTCAGGTTCTTTGAGGCTCAAAGTATAAACATTTCATTTCCAGAACCTAGGAGACTTTTCAAACACTTAGAGAAAGTATTGAAGCCAAAATTTAATTTTACAACGAAATGTAAACAAAATGACACGGAATGAATGCTATGGTATGAGAGGGTCAGTGACAGAGATTTTAGCTCACAGTTCATCCTCAATAATCAGAAGTGGAATATACTTTAGGTTCAGTTAGCAAATCCACGTAATACACAAATAAAGAAACCAGAGTGTTGCACGTGGGAATCAAGATTCGCTAGACCCAGTACAGGTTAAAAGGTTTATTCGGAGAGATAACACTTACATAAGAGGCCGGTGGCTACCGGAGGTTCCAGCTCTGAGGATCCTTCCAGGCTGTGTTCCGTGACTGGTCAGCAGCCAGAGAGCACGTGCACCTCCCAGAAGCAACCTAAATCCTCCCCTCCTGTACACACCTGTGACCACACCCAAACAGGCGTGGTCAGTGCCACAGGTGTGCATAGTTAGATCTCTGGCTATCCTACTCAGTTCTTCCCTATTTCTATTTAGGACTTATTTAAATGCTTCTAAAATATTTTTGTGAGCATTAATTTTAAAAGTAGGCGAAGTCTGACTACCTTAGGTAGAATACTACCTGGATGGCTGAAGAGACAACAGGCAATGAGATTCCAAAAAGCAAGGTTCCCAAAATAAGCGATACAGTAAAGGCCTAGACACTATAGCTGTTTTCAAACACATGTTCTTCCCGGGAATAAAGTATGAAAGTAGGCCCAGGAGATAAAACCGCTATTTAGTATAACATTTTTGAACAAAAATACTTAAAGGACAATCTTACTGTACTGCTGGAACAGGGTTGCTCTTCCTTGGAAAGGGTTTGGATATCAGTGGAAATTTAAGCCAATGGCCTTCCTTTTCTAAGTTCCTGGGGGGCCACAAGTTCCCTAGACCTCATGCTTTTGCATATTGGCAGCTATTGATATTTTAATCATAATTTAATTTCATTAAGGTGCACTGGTATGGATCAAAGAGAGAGATACCTTTAAGTGATAGAATATCTGTTCACAGTTGCCCATAGGAAAATAAGTCACGTGGGCAAACCCTGAGATGTCATGAGCCTGGAAGGGAAACACTCAAGAGTAGACAAACACCCTGCTTGTTTCTGAGGAAGCAAAAAGCAAAGCTTTGGAGGGTACTCGGGCATTGATTAGCTAATTAAAGCTAAACTCACACAAGGAATCAGGTGATTCTCTCACTAATTATTTACCTAACATCCAACTTGAGGGTTTTAAGGTATCAAGTTACAGAAACGATATAAAGCCAGATTCATTCAGATTGCTTTGGCTCAGAATTAATCTTTTTCAGTTTGTACCAAAAATAGTCTTGGAAGCTGGATATTGTCTCTTCTTCCAGAAGTTATAGGTTCGTTTCTTGTTCAGTATGATGACAGTGGTGCCCCCTTTCATAGCTGATGACATCTACAGTTACTTCCCATTAGAATAGTGGAGTTCCAAGGTGCAGGACTCTCCCCTCTAACCCACCCTTAGCACATGCTGTCAGCAAACTATTGAGTTGTCCAGTGAAGGATGAGGCTGAAGGAACCAAAGAAAATGCTGATAGTTTTCAGCCACTTGTATGTCTTTGATTAATACATTTTCCTATGCCCATATTGTCTGCGTGGGTACAATAAATGGTAACTGGCTTACTGGTTAGCATAAGAAAAATCTGATAGCCTTCCCACTCCTCTCCAGTACACATTGAGCCCATGATTCTAGGTTTTTATGAGTGCGGAGATGATGTCAATGAATACAAGGTATTCTAAGGGTGAGAACTTGAGTATCCAGGAGTATGGCACAGAGGTGATAGAAAGGGGTATTTCAGCTTGCTTCCAGTTGTTGTGATTAACACCATGACCAAAATCAAGTTGGAGAGGAAAGGGTTTATTTGTTGCATAGGTCATTGTCTCTCATGAAGGGATGCAGGTTTGGAGCTCAAGGCAGAGAACTGAAGCAGAGGCCACTGAGGAGTACTGCCTACTGACTTGCTATCTGTGGATTATTCAACTACCTTCCTATGCAGCTCAATCCTACCTATCTAGGGGTAGCAAAGTAAACTGGGCCCTCTTGCTTCACATAGCAATTAAGAAATAATGAGTTGGGGCCAGAGAGATAGCTCTCTGTTCAAAAGCACTGGCTGCTCTTCCAGAGGATCTAGGTTCAAATCCCAGCACCCACATGACAGCTCACAACTGTCGGCTGTCTGTAACTCCAGTTCCAAGGTGGTGCCTAACAATCCCTTCTGGCCTTCGTGGGTACTGCACATGTGTTACGCAGACATGAAAGCAGGCAAAATAGCCATATACATGAAAAAAGTAATAAAAGTATTTCTAAAGAAATAATGCCTCCACAGACATTGCCACAGATGAAGATGATCTAGGCCATTCTTTAGAGGAAGGCTCTCTTCCTGTGTGACTATAGATTTGTGTCAAGTTGCCAGCATAGGGCAACCATAGCAAAGAAGTTGGACTTTAATTAGGATGATTCCATTCAGCCCCCGTTAGAGCCAGTTCTGGTTCAAATAGAAAAGCTTTACTGCACCATGGATGGGGGCTGCCCAGCAGCTCTTTAGCAGCAAATTCTGTTAATTCAAACTTCCACTGAATAAAGGTATTCTGTTTTGGAAATAGAGCTAAGCTGTGCTATGTTTGAATACATACAATAATTAGCTGTATTACACCAAGTTCCTTTTATTTTATATTATACTGTAACAAAGCATCTGAAGGCTTAGCCACAAATACCTATTAATTTTTATGTCAACACTGTATCATGTTTATTTGCCATGACACATTCTCATTGATGTGGTTGAGTGAAAATACAATGTAAATATATTTTAAGTATCAGTTTTTCTAGTTATACTGATTTAGAGAACAATTTATTTCCCCAAAATTTCAGCAGAGTTGGCACAACTAGGACTAGTTATTTTTAGAAGTTCTTTAAAGAGAAAGAGAAATAAAACAAGTTCATGCAGTTATGTTTTTTACAAGTTGAAGGGCATGAAGCATCACATGTACCTGAGAACTTATTAGTGTATTGGCTCATATGTATCATGCAGACACGTTGATGTTGGGTTTACTAGGTGGGTTCAGGAGATGCTGTGGAACAGATAAGAGGAGCTGAGGTTGAGCACGAACACGCTCACTGGTTCTGTTTCTCACCTGAGTGGTCTTAGGGCTGATGTAAAGAACTGGTGTCTCATACGGCCTTGCTCTCTGCTAAGAGGGACCCAAGAATAACTCTCAGAGTAGAAGGGGAGCAACGAGTGCCCCAACCTCTTTGTTGACAAGGAGACAGCTGAAGACTGTAAGGTCTAAACATGATACCTAGGATTAGAATCCTTAGTCTGAGACACATCACATAGTACACCAAAAAAGAAGCAAATATACTTGCCTGGAACTAGGTTAGGAAATATGACTTTATTGTTTATATAAAAAAGCATTCTGAGAATGTGGCATACTTTCCATTTATATCGGTAGTTTACTGCTGCCTTGAGTATGCTGCATTTATTCCCTCTTTTGCTTTTTCACATTTCTAGATGACTATCCACATTTTCTGCATAATCTGTGATTAACAGATATCCACAGTAAGAAGTTATAAGACACAATGAATGTATTAAGCACAATACAAAACTAATAGTAAAAACACCTTACTAAGTAAAAAGTTATCAGGAACTGTGTGTGAGTCATCTGCCAAAAAGGCATAAATAGTCCAGTCATGATGGTATAAACATTTAATCCCAGCACTTGAGAGGCATAGACATGTGGATGCCTATGAGTTTGAGGGCAGCCTGGTTTACATAGAGAGTTTGAGGGCAGACAAGGCAATGTAGAGAGATCCTTTCTCAAAACAAAACCAACCAAACAAACAAAAAGGCATAAATGTTTAATGAGATACAAAAGAATGTTTTACTCTACTGAGAAACTCACCATACTTTAAGGAAAATCGAATATGACAAATATAATGGTTATTCTAAAATTCATTTGTATATTTATCCAACTTCAAAAAAACCTCAAGTGCTATCATTTTGGAAAATTAAGACTATTTCTAAATTTTATTTAGAAACACAGCGAGTAATAATTTGTAGCAAAAGAGTAAAAATAAACCAAAAAATAGGAGAGGTGAGGCCAGCATAGGGTAATACACCTGTAGTCCCAATACATGGAGAGGAAGCTGGAGGGTTAAGAGTTCCAAGTTATTCTCGCCCACTTTGAGAGTCTGAAGCCAGCCTTGTCTCCAAACAAAACAACAAAACTAGTAGAGGAGACATTTTATTAAATATTTAAGTTCTTTATAAAAATTTAATTAAATCAGTGTGTTGATAGAAGTAAATTTAAGTATTATATATACATGCACAAAATGAATGCAAGAATGGTATCAAATGATATAAATACATTTTTACAAACTAAAAAAATGAAATGATCATTTAAGAAGGACTAATAGAAACAGTTTTATAAATATATAAAACTATTGAAAGCATATATGGACAAAGCAAGCATTGTCTTTCCCAGGAAAGCCTATTGTCATCTTTGAAGGGATTGTCATCTTTGAACCTTGAACGTTATGTATCTAGAAGGAAATTCAGGACTACCTTAAGTTATGAGTATTGTTGGCATAAAGGGAGATATAGTATAGCCATGAAAAAATGTCATTTTAGGTATTCATGCTACCCTACCATGGTCATATATATTTCAGAGTCACTTTTCAATTGTAGTCATCCAAAAAAATTACCGTAAAACATAGAAGTGCAACACAAAATTTTTTCTCTGTTTAGTACTTCAACCTTTTAAAGAGTGTGTGTTACAAAACCAGACTATTTTATTGACATATTTTTTTAACTTTTTGAAAGATAAATATAAATTTATATATTTCTGGATAGCATTATTAGACACTATCTGATGAAAATTTTAGCAACATTTTCTAAGCTATCAATATAAAGGAAATAAGTTAAGATCAAAAGTGTATGAAAATAGAAGAGAGGTCTATTAAAATAACAGAAAAGATAAGTTCTAGTGAATTACCGTGAACTATTACATACAGCTAAACTTTTACACTTAACTATTGTCCTAGTTAGCAGCAACTGTCAACTTGACTCAGTCTAGGATAATCTGAGGGAGTGTCTAATTGCTATGTTGTCTTGACTGATGATTAATGTAGGAAATCCCAGCCTACTGTGGGCAGCACCATCCCTAGGCAGGCAGCCTAGGCTGTATATGAAAGCTCGCTTAGCCTTAGCCAGCAAGCAGCATTCATCCTTCAAGCTCCTACTTAAATTCCTGCCCCAACTTCCTTCAGTGAGACTGTGACCTGAGCGTGTAAGCTGAGTTAAATCCTTCCCTACCCTAAATTGCTTTTGGTCACAGTGTTTATC